GGGCATTGAAGATGATAACAGTGGGTGCATTATATTCTTAAACTTAGTTACAGCACTTTCAGAAAGACATCTACTGTGATAAAGTCTACTCTCCACTGCTGTGTAATCAATTATTGTAAATTTAAATGTAATCAGAAAATTATCCAACAAGAGAGGGTTCTCAGAAAACACTGTTAAATGTTCAGTTTCTATGCCATATGTTAAAACAAGATCTAGAGTGTGATTAAAGTGGTGAGTGGGTTCTTTTACATTTTGAGAGAAGCCAGTTGAGTCTAATAACAGATGAAATGCTGTGTTGAGGCTGTCATTTTTAGCATCTACATCGATGTTAAAATCACCGACAATAGGAAATCAGACAGAAACTCTGTGTAAGGCCCAGGTGGATGATAGATGATAACAAATAAGGCTGGCTTTTGAGTTTTACAGCTGGGGTAGACAAAGCTAAGCATCGGGCTTTCAAACGAATTAAAAGTCTGTCTTGGGCTTTGGTTGATTAATAGGCTGGTGTGGAAAATTGCTGCCACACCGCCCCCTCAGCCTGTGCTTCGAGGTTTCTGATAATTAGAATGACTCGGGGGTGTTGATTCATTTAAACTAACATAATCATCCTGCTCTAACCAGGTTTCTGTAAGGCAGAGTAAATCGATTTGTTGATCAATTATTAAGTCATGTATTAACAGACTTGGAAGAGAGAGACCTAATGTTTAATAATCCACATTTCACTGTTTTACTCTTTGGTGCAGAAAATATTGGAGAGCAGTGAGATCTAGCTATCACCTGATGGGGCAGAGACACCAAAACGGACTATAGGGTTTCAGTATCATTGTAAGCCTGTCATCATGAACTATCAGGTCATGCAGAGCACTCTGAGTTCACTATGCACAAGACCGATTGGGTCCTACCCAGACAATACCATCTTTTTGGCATGCTTATTCCCTACACTGCTCTGGCTTAAATAAAAAAAAAAAGTAAATAAAAAAAAATAAAACGTGGCTTAAACACTGGTGAAGAATCTCTGGAGCTAGAAAAGAGTGAAATGGCTCAAACCTGCCACACGACTTGCTCCAGCTGTAGCACACCTGGGAGAGTGAACTTAAACTGATCCATGCTCTCCCTCTTTGAAGATGTTATGTGCATCCCAGACCTGTCAGACTCCACACACAGCATTCATATCTTTTCAGATGCTACAGAGAAAGCATATGGGTCCATAACATATATTATTCACTACATTACCCCTGACCCATTTTCATGTAATGCCAGTGCACTGCAGATTGGAGCTACAAGTTTAACTCTAACAGCAGATAACCACAAGCAAGGTGAACTATATCACTTCAGGAAAGTACAGAAAGACTTAAGTTTCTGTCCTCCTGTCATCACTAGTACCAATACTACTTACCTTTACTTCTGTGTATGACCAAGAAACTCAGCTGACTGTGGAGTTGCACTTGGTGAAAAGGGGTGGGCAGGGGAGGTTCCAGATCCAAAGCTGTTGAGGTAAGCTCAGTTATATCTAGCCAGTATTTCTCAGTCTCAATCACCAGCTCAGATACCTTCCCTGCCAGCGATGGACAGATCAGAGGCACTTTAGGTTCTTTACTTCTTCCACCAGATACGTGATGTCATACTCTATGCCTCCATCATCCTGTTTGTGGGAAGGGCATGGGCCTAGGATTCTATCCCAGACCCAACAGTGGCTTTCCTTTTGAGCTGGAGTAGATGCACCAGCATCGGCTGCATAATGGCCTGGATCATTTTTTCCAAACCAATTTGAAGGCTGGTTGGAGCTCAGGAGATTTGGCAGGTTGTCCACTAATTGGAAGGTTGGCTGTTCTAGTCTGCATGCCAACGTATCCTTGGGCAAGTGTTTGTATAACATTGTAGCCCCAGGGTGACTGTGGCTACAATGTAGCTTGCCATCACCAGTGTGTGAATGTGTGTATGAATGGGTGGATGACTGGTTGTGTAAAGCGCTTTGGGGTCCTTAGGGACTAGTAAAAGTGCTATACAAATACAGGCCATTTACCATTTACCATTTACAGACCATTTAAATGGGTAAATGGGGTAAAACATTTTGAGTACTCCAGTAGAGTAGAAAAGAACTAGTCCACTTACCATTTACAATCTAAAGGTAGATTTGTCAATCGGAGGTTGGACCACAGGACCTCTTCCCCTGACCACCGCCCAACCCACAAAATAGACCAATCCCACTGCAATGTCTTTACCATGAAGTTAAACAAACACTGCCTATCATGAGACATGCAGTCAGACCAGTCAAGTGAGGAACACTGGAACTTGTTCTTACACAAAAGGAAACACTTGAGGCATTAGTGGCCTGCTCTATGGAGGTAAATAGTTTCAGTTCAAGCCTCAAAGTGATGAAAAATACTGTATCTGCTGATCCAGCTTTCACATTAGTATTTGTACAGAATATGATGAGGGATGGGAATGTTGTGCAACAAAAATTTAGAACCAGATGCTCTGAAGTTAATAGTTTTGTTATTTTGAGTCTCTGAATGATTTTTGTTTATTTTTTGTCTATTTGAGGTCTTTTGGTGTCTCTTTATTGTGTGTCTTTTTGACTTTGTCTCTTTGTGGTCATTTTTTTGGAGTTGTGTTCTGTCTGAGTAAGCTCTGACTGTCTCTGTCGGATCTATTTGCAGTCATTTCGTGTTGTTTGTGTCTCTTGCCATTATGAAACAAGAAACGTTAACTTCAAACACGTATTTCTCAGGGGCTTAGTGCTGTATATAATAATGGCTTGCTTGTTGAGCAGAGTCGGTTGGTGGGCTTCACTTTTTGTCCGTCCTTCTCGGCGTTTCCTCCGCCCTCCTGGTTTATAAAAGAAGCGAGCAGCCCTCAGTCATTGGAGCTGATTCAGTCAGGTGGATTGGGGTGGCTGTGAGATGGCGGAACGAGGCAGAGAGCAGCCGGGGTTAATCCGTCTTTGTTTTGCTGCACCACAGTAGAACTTCTCAGTGTCGAGTCCGGTTCGGAGACACACAGAGAATTCGCTTACGGCGCAAACATGTCCTGGAAACGAGCCATGAGTGGAGAATCTCCGATAAGCCGACGCGCAAAAGGTAGGAGAGAGACCAGTGTCGCTCGGTCAGTGCTGCTCCCATGGAGCCACAGCACACAGACACCTCGCTGGGTTCATGACTGAAGCACTGATGAACTTTTTAGCCAACTTTTTGTGTGGAGCTGAGGAATTTGCTGGAGCGGTCAGATATTATGGACTGTTGCAGTTTTCGGGTGTGAGCCAATACAAATAATTTCTTCCCAACCCTTTCAGACGTCCCGGAGCCGCTGCAGGAGAGTGCTCCCTCCCCGACCCTGCCTGCGGATCATGTGCTCTGCTCCGGAGCAGTGTTATTCCCTGGTAGCTATTAACCCACATTTGTGTATCATGTGCCTGGTGTATTCATAAATGTTTGAAAGTGTGAGACCTAAGAGAGCTTGCGTGAAGACTTTAGAACTCCTCCACTCCTGGTGATACTCAGTCTTTTTAAATGTTTCATTTATTTTGGCAAAACTGGCAGCCGCATGAAAATGTCCTTAACTCGGTCCGGATGTCTAGGCCTCTTTCATTTTATTTTCCTTCTTGATCCCTAAAATTTGCACATAATGGGTTTATCTGGCTTTTTAGGTACTTTTGATCAACATGGCTGCCCTCTGGTTATGTTCCCAGTGGATGGGCAATACAAACTCTCCTCAGACCTCAGCAAAGCTGAAGTGGTGGACTTCATAAATTACTTTCAGTATCAGCACAAGTAGGTGGAATTCAACAAACACGTTTTTTTTGCACTGTGTTTGTGTGTACAGTGATGTTTGGACTGTTTCTCTCTGACAGTAAGAAACAGGAAAAGCAGAGCATGGTGTCAGTCGTGGCTGATTTGAGGGATGCCTCGCTCTCTACCATCAGTTTCATTGTCGAGTCTCTACTGCTGCTTGAGGTATTGTTATGATGAAGTGGAGTGTGTGGCTACATTGTGAGGCCTTTTCAAGATGATGGGTTACTTTTTTTTTTTTAGACTGAAGTATTATGCTGAAATGCTTTTAAGCAGCTGGTGTTTGCAGCTCATATGGTGGCAGGACTGAATAGCCATGCTGCACCCAGCTCTCACTACCAGTGCAATGAAGGTTCAAGTCCCACATGACAAAACTGGACTGATGTAAATGCACTTATTACCCAGCAGGCTGCTGTTGAATTGCGATGAATATGAATTGTATTATTTACTTTTTTGTCAACAAAGTAATAGACCCCAAAGTACTCTGAAGAATTTGAGTCCCAAATAATAATGAAATATTGTTTAGATTAGACGTCAGCTGTCTAACCTGTGGAAGGACTAAAATGTAGAAATCCAGAATGAAGGTTTTCATTCAGCGATACATTTTTACATTTTATGTGTTGTTGCTGTTGGGGAGTTAAATTGGAGAAAATGTTGCATGAATCTAATGCCTGAAGAATTGAAGATGAGG